AGCGGGGGGAGGTGTGTGCAAGGTGTGGTCAACAAGTGTTGCTACTTCTGCTGCACACGATGGCGATGGCGGCAGGGCCCCCTTTGTCCCTTTCATACCCTCTTCACAAAAAACTAGCTCGCTGGTTGAAGTTTTACCCGTTTGAGCATCCTGACTGCAACTGCAAAAATTGCAACTCGGTTTCTGCCAAGATACTAGCCCGCTCTCGATTTCCTCCAGCAAATCCCGTGCCGCCGCGCTGGAGCCGATGAGTTTGTTTTGGACGACTGTACCCCGCCTCCGCGGTCCGCCTGAACTGCCGACACCTCTCTCGGCTGCGACACGCGCTCCGGGCCGCGCACACCACGGCCCAGGCACGTGGCGCCTCTCCATGCAGCCCACCCCTATCTCCGGGAGGCACGCGTGTGACTCGTGGCCCCGCCCCGCTCCACCCCGCTCCACCCCGCCCGCTCCACCACGACCTGACAGTGAGCAAACTTCTTTAGTCACCACAACCCCTTTCTCACCCTTGCCCCCTCCGGCCTCCGCCGCGGTGGCCTACGACATCCTTCAGCGTCCAGCATCCTCAAACATCCTCGAGCGCCCTCCAATGGCCCTCAGCATCTCCACCAGCATTCTCCTAAAAGACCTCAACAACCTAAAACTTTCTTCTCATGTGCGGCTCTTTAGATCCACTTCTGCAAACCTTTGATTGCATCGTCACCACCTTTTTTCTTTGTCGGTCATTATCACACTTTTTCGAAGGGTCGTTGAAGTTGAAGAATACTGCGTACTTTCAATCTGGAGGGAGGACTCCACGGAGGACTCGAAATCAATTTTGACAGCTCTCTGCCCTCACAGCTTTAGGAGGGGTGCTTTTCAGAATCCCCGGCACTCTCCTTGCTGTCAGGAGAAGGAAAGATCTGGGCTCAGGTAGTCTACCGAGTCTACCCGCAACCCTCCCTCTCCGGCCCTCCGAGCCCAACCCCCACTAATTGTTGGCTCAGCCGGCCACGACTTTAATTGTGACCCATCATTTATCAATCCTCGTCCTCCCCCCCCCCTCTCACCGCCTGATGGCTACACGTACCTCTCCGCAGAGCTTCTCCCTCTCGGGCCCGGCGGGCATGGAGCGCAGCCTGGTGGGCACGTACCAGAAGCTCACGTTCA